ACTGGCGTCCACTAATGTAGCCGTAATCCAGGACATCCAGATGTAAGTGTCACCTTGGGGGGAATCGGCGGGCGGCCGCGCCCCCCCCCCCGCCCCGAGCTGCACCTGTGGGGGGAAGGCGGACCCTCTGGGCTGTCGTCTGCTCATGGCCCACTGATAGGACCCCAGTCTGTTGCTCCCCGGCACCTCACTAGGTCATTCAGGGAGGGTCATTCCTAAGTCGCCCGAGTCTGGGGGTGGCGTCTAGGGTTCTTTGGGTTGACATCTCGTGAGTTTGGGAGGGAGAGGGACGAAGTACGTATTCTTCTCCTTTGCCCTCCTGAAAGCCTTCATGAAACGCACAGGGTTTCCTGAGTCGGTTCAAGTTCATTTGCCAACCCAAAGCATTACAAATAATATTTTTTTTTACTTAGGTACAGAGACGAGAGGACCAAGTGGGAGGGGAGGACAGCAGGGACCGTCACTGTCTGACTGTTCGGCTGGGTTCAGAGTGCTGTGCTGTCCTTGGGAACACCGGGGTGGGGGTGGGGGATTCAGCTTCCCCTGAGAAAGGTCGCACAGCTCCAGTCTTTACAACCCGCTGGTGCTCACGCCAAGGCCAGCAGGGGTGACGCCCCCTCTCCCTTGTTTTCCAAATAGAAGTCTGTCCCCAGTAGGGACGTGGTTTGAACCAGAAACAAGCCAGGGCTCCGTGCTTTTCTACCCCGATGAGCTCTGCACACACTGCCCTCGGTCAGCGCCTCGGTGTGGTGGCGGTGTGGCGGAGGACCGCAGCAGCCGCCCGGCAGGCAGGGCCCCGCCCCACTGCCGTGGATGGTGTCGAGGGCGGGACGTCACTGAGAGTGGAGAGGCGCGGCCGGTCTGTCAGCCAGGACTCCGGGTCGCAGGCGACAGAAAAACCTAACTCTGACCACACCAGCGCCTCACCCTGGAAAGGCCCGCGCCCCGCTAGCGGCCTGGTGCAGCGGCTCCGTCCCCCGAGGCCGCAGGCCAGGGTTGTGGGGGGGCCACGTGACGACGACAGCTCCGGATGGCTCGTCCTCACCGTTCACAGACCAGGGGGTCAGAAAGTCTTTTTCCTTGGCTCCACATCAGGCCTCTGGCTGTCGCTCTTCTCCCTGGCCCCCAGTTGGGTCCTGTGCCTTCCCCTAACCCAGCGCCTGTGGCTGGGAGGAGGGCGTGTACTAATTAGGATTAACCACTCAGGGCCGTCCCCTGACTCTGGAGGCGGGGCCCATCCCACCCAAACCACCCAGCGTGGGGAAGGCTGGATTCGCGGGAGAATTAGAGTCCTCTCTGCGGGAGTGGTGGGAAGAGACACAAGACAACAAATGTCCACCCCTCAGTTTTCTAAAACATTTCCTAAGAAGTCGTGGGGCCCCTTTATTTTGCCAGGACCTACTACGGAGTGTATGTGCTGAGAAACAGTCCGACCTTATTTTCTATCAGTGCCACTGAGCAAGTCCCACGACAGCATCTCGCATCGCTCCCAGGGCTTCAGGAACAACCGCGAAGCCCTCCTGAGTCTGAGCGTCCTAGCCCGTCCCTGCAACGCTGTAGCGGCCTGAACACAGGCGCCTCGGCATCATCGCAGGGTGCCTGGCCTTGTGACGGGATCCAGCTACACTGTAGCTGCTACGGGCTCAGGTCCGTGCAAGCCGGAAAGAAGAGCTGCTGCTGCTGCTTTTTTTTTTTTTGCTTTTTTTTTAGAAGAGCTGCTTCTGTATCTCCAGTGCGTCCCCTAAAATGAACCCGTCCAGAGGGAGGGGGCGGTCACAGGGCCAACAGGCAGCTGTCTCGTCGGCGTGGCTCATGGTCACTGGTACTCGGTAGAAGTAATAGTAGCAGTAATTGTGGTGCATAATTCCTGAGTGCTTACTATGTGCCAGGCAGTGTTCTGAGCACTCCCCACACATCACTGAATTAATTCACTTAACCACAACAACTCCATTAGTAAGGTCCTATCATCATCACCATCGTCATCACCATCATCATCATTCCCACCTGACGGACAGGAAACGGAGGCTCACCCAGGGTCAGACACTTGCCCAGATGTCCCGCATCCAGGTAGCAGCTCTCCAGGTGTCCAGAGAGCATCCTCTGACCCCCTACCCTTCGATCTCCCGGCTTCCCCGCCTTAGGAAACGGAGACGGAAGAGAGGCGGGGTGGCTGATGGGAGCCAGGGAAGTCAGGGTAGGAATTCTCAGTCCTTTTCAATTCCATGGTCTGGCAGGATGTCGAATCAGACGATATATAATAATTTGGGTTGGGGCGACGGTCCTTTCTCGTCACCTCAGACAGCAAGCCCTCTCCCGGGCCCCGTATTTGGAAACTGGCCAGGAGCCCAGGGCGCTCAAGGAAGAGCTTTAAAGATCTACAGGGAGGCCCCGCAGAAACCCAGGAAAGGGCTCCACCTCTAGCCCAGAGCGAGGCCTCAACATGCGCAACTCCCAGCCCCTCGGGCCTGCACGGAGAGGCGGGGGGGGTGTTCCCACACCAGCCCGCCTTTCAGTGAGAAGAGCGACGGGCAGAACACAGGGAGTCCCTCCTCCGGCAAGAACGGTCCCTGGGCTTGGGAAGCTCGCCCCCCACGCACGGCCCATGCCAGCCTGGAAAGCACGTTGGAATGAATGGCCCCGACACTGTCTCAGAGTGAGGGGGCAAAACCCGCTTGGCGGGCGAAAAAGCATCTCTGCGGACAAACCTTCTGATCGTCCCACGACACCCCGGGCGGGCCAGCACCGATCACAGCCCTTTAGTCGTCCGGCCAGGGTAACGAGTGCGCGGGCCGCTGGCCCGCCGGAGATGGAGATGCTCAGTCTGGAGTGACTTGCGCTGGCTCGCCGCTGGCGCGTCACTCGCTCTCCGATTCCCCGGCAAGGACGAAAGCGCCGTTCAAAAACCTCGGCAGAGTTTTTCGTAATGAGCCTCGGCCTCTCCCCTTGAACAATTAACCTGCCCCATCCTTTCCGGGTGATTCCGAGGCCGTCTGCAGAACCACGCGGGGGCACCCTCGGACCCACCCACGGTGGCAGGCGGCAGGCAGCACCCACTCCAGGCCCCCCCGCCCCCCGCTACCGACGAGGATCCTGCCGAGCGCACCCTCCGCGTGCCGGCGCTGTGCGGGGCTTATCCGCGCAAGCAGTTTAATATTTATGCTAAGAGGATTGTCGAAAGTAGCTTCTGTTGCTTTAATTCTTGTTTTAAATAAATAATGAGAACATTTAAACACATTACTCTTCCCGGGGCCCAGAGGTCAGCTAATCTTATTATTTATGAAGTGATGTGCTACCTAATAGTACTTAGCGCGTGTTAACAGACGCTATTATCAGGGCCCGACGCGGGGAGCCGAAGATATATTGGAACGCGCCGCGTAATGTACGGCGGATTGAGTGCCGGGGATGCCGGTGCGGCAATTAAGCACGCAAGAAAATAGGTGTTAAGTTGAAGTATGTTTTCCTGCGGGGGTCCCCTCGCCATTAATAATTCCCCAGAGGAGAGGATGTCTCTCAGCGAGGGACCCGGGCTGCCATCACGCCGGGAAACGGGGCCGGGGCATTCCATTCTGCGGTCTCTTGGCGGCCGGTCCCACCCCGCAGACAAACAGCAGCGGGCAGGACCCCTGCTGAGTGGATGGAGGGGATGGTGCCTGGAGAGCGTGGTGGGTGGCGGTGGGGGAGAACCCCTGCGACTCTTCCAGATAGAGTGCGGACAGCCCCCCCCCACGTAGGACGGGTTTTTTGTTTTGTTTTGTTTTGTTTTGTTTTTGACTTTGCAACGGTGCAGAAGTGACAGGTCTGAAAAATCAGCACGTGAGCTATTCGGCACTTGACGGTAAGATGGGCTTCATGTTAGACCATCGGCCCTCCTGGAGGCAGGTGGGAGTGTTCGGAGCACGTGTCAGGAGCGAGGGTGCTCCACAAGTTAGGTGGGCGACATGGGGTTTCGCCGACAGTGGTTTTAACCGAGGAGGGGCTTCCCGGGAAGTGAGCCCAGTGCAAGCCGAGGAGCCTGTGCATTTCTTCTCCACTTGTGCCCTTGCCGCCACGTTGCGCTATTGTTTCTTCTTTGCTGCAAGTTTCTGTTTCCTTCTCTCTGCCTCTCCGTTCTCTTTCAGGTAAATAAAGCTAAAGCCCATTGTCAGCACGCGGTCCAGGTGCCCCTCGGGGTGTGGAGGGGCTGCCCCAGCCCTTTCCTAAGAGGCTGTGCTGCGGTCGCCTAGGATAATTAATTTCTCGACTATTGATGAATAATCCATTTAATAAAAACCGTGATTTAAGTGTTTTCCTTAGGGAGCAACTCTTGCTAGCCTCTTAATTTAATTTTGTGGAAGTTTTCCCCACCTATTCATCAGCGGAAATGATTATTAACCTCTATTTGCATACATCCTTATACATCGACGTCTCCTTGGAGTGCCTTTCCTCCCCGCCCCCCCCCCGCCCCCCCCAGCTCAGCAAGCTGGGACACTTGTAAATCTCCGGGATCTCGAGAGTCAATCCTGGCCTGTAATATTGTTTGATCTGTCCTCGGACGTTTTAATACGGTAAATTTAATTTAATCTTTCCCGGTAATCTAGTAATACATTGAAATCCCACAAACATTTAAATCTGATAATGGCTTAATCACACACTTTAAATAACAGTCGACGTAATGAAAATATAATGCACCGTTTTGAAGGCAGGGTAACCGAATTTTCCCTGCTGACTGGCTTCTCCGGAGCCATGTAGAGATACCGCAAAGTGTGGGGATTGGGGAGGGGGAAAAAAAATACCCAAAGAAGTGCCAGCAGCGTAAAAGAGCAACTCTTCCTTCTTGCAAACACCCACCTCCAAGGCGTTTTCAAGGTCGCTCCTGCCCACGCCCACCACCGCCACGAAGGATTGTCCTTGGAGCCCTTGGGCCTGTCGCCTCCAGCTGCCCGTGGGTTCCGGTCTTCTGGGAATCCCCCCTCCCCCCGCCTGCCCGCGGACGTAAGAATTGCCTGTTCTTACTCTTCTAGGTGCCAGTGCCGCACGGCTCGGACCCTGCCCGCGGACCAGAGGCCCGAGTGCCGGCCATACTGGGAGCAGGACGACCCTGCGATGCCCCTGCCGTTCGACCTCACGGACCTCGTCGCGGAGCTCAGGGGCCTGCTTCTGGAAGCGAAGCCCGAGAAGGAGCGCAAGGCCTAGGTGGAGGACCAGAGGGGAGCTTCCGGCTCCTCTCCACCATCGCCGTCCGGGGCGGGGGGCCGGGGGCGGGGGCGGGGTGGGGCGGGAGAGGCCGCCTCTGGAGGGTGCAGCCCCGGCTGGGGTGGCTGCCCATGAGTGTCGCCCCGACGCCGTGTGAGAACGGCACAGCGTTGTAGTCCGACTTGGTATCAAACCCAGTTTGTTCCCCCCACGCATTCCCCACTTGGAGTAATTTTTATCGTGAGCCGTTCCGCTCCCAAGGCCAAGGTCGGTGACAGGGGGGAACCCAGCCTGTGACAACGCCTAACCTACGTTCTCCCTTCCGAAGCCTTCACAGAGGCTCAAGAGCAGATGGCCCTAAGGTCCCCTGGGGGACCCGGGACTCCGACACAGAGGCGACGCGCCCCATGCGGCAGCTGCCGGCCGCACGTGGCTTCCCCCATTTAAGTTCAGCTTTAACGGTCATTAAAAGTTCAGCCCCTCGGGGGCACTAGCTGCATTTCCGGTGCCGGACGGCCCCGTGCGGCTGCTGGCTCCCGCGCCGGACGGCACAGGTGCAGACCGTCTCTGTCGCCACGGGCCGTCCTCACAGGCGACACCCCGCCGCAAATGTCCGGGCAGGGCACTCTCTGTCCCCGCTCCCTGTAGCTGCGGTCCTCACTGGCCGAGTAAGTAAAAAAGACAAACGTCTCCCTCCTTGAAGAGTAGCCCCCTTCCTTTCTCCAAGAAAGACCTAAACGGAAGCCCAGGGCGGGCATTCCGTACTTGGTGCGCCGGAACGGAGGTGCGTTGAACGGTAAAACACCGCGGGCGTCCTCCCTTTAGGAAGGTGCCCCAATGCAAGGACAGAGACGTGGCCCTGTTTACACTGCCTCGCGGGTGCGGCCAGCGCCCTGTTTGCCTATAATCAATGACAGGTGGGACTGAGGCTCGAAGAACGCTGGTGCCCGCCGCCCCCCCCCCGCCCCCCCGTGACCCTGGAGCAACGGAGAGAGACGCAGAGCAGAGGCTGAAACCTGGGCCCCCACCCAAATCCCCCATGAGCTTTGTGACCTTTGGCACGCTACTGTGCCTCAGTTTCCTCGTCTGGAGAATGGGGGTGCTGAAGGCACCGGCTCCCGAGGCGAAGCCTCAGTGAAATTGTCTAGGGACAGACTTACGTGAACAGCTTCCGACAGGTGGTTCAACATCCAATAAACATGCGAGTGACCGTCAGGACGCTGGCCTGATGGGGACCTGTGTGCCCCTCCCCAACCCTCCCCAGTCCTCGCACCGGTTGGGTCTGGGGATGCCAGGATGTGTCTCCCGCCTCTGTGCCCCTGGAGACCGTGAGAACAGCGTGCCCCTCCCCCAGCGCGTGGCCTGCCCCCGGAACCGTGTGCCGGAGCGGGAAGGCCAAGGGCATTTCTGCCCGCTGAGGCCCGCTGAGGACCAAGCTCTCTCCCGTCGCCGGAACCTCGCTGGTTCAAGGCACGTGTTTGCCCATGGGGAGGTCACGCCACAGAAAGGTCCCGACACGCGCGAGGCGGCCAGGCCTCCTCGTCTGAGACCGGGCGTGCTCTCGAGCCTCCGTGTCCCCCCAGTGCAGGAGGGGAGGCCCTGCCTCTCAGGGTTCGTAGGTTCAACGGCACCGCACAGGCGAGGCGTTGCCCGGCACAGACAGGTCACAGCCTGCGGGCCGCCCGGCCTCGTGTCTTATTTAGCTCCCACCCTGTTCGTTCGTTGTCGCATTTCACAAGGGCCAGTGTGTGAGAAGTTGGGAGAGGCCTTGTGACATGAAAACGTGTGCTGCCTCTTTAAGACTCAGGAGATCTGGCAGCTCACGGCTCGGCAGACAGCGCGGTGTCTTTCTCTCTCGGGTGGGGTGTGACCGCTCCGCGGCCCTGTGGCTCCTGGGTGTCGTCTGTTGTAAACCTGGCCTGTCCCCCCTTCCTGTCCGCCCTCTCCACGCCTCGCTTGTGCCCCTTGTAGTAGAAATAAACGACGCTGTGTAGTGCTCACCCCGATCCACGTGTGTGTCTGTGGCGCTGTGTTCGCGGGCTGCTCATACCGAGGTGCCTTGTACGTCCCAAAACACCCGTAAACAACAAAAATATGAGCGGGACGAGAGAAGAGACCAAGAGAGGTTCTGCGGTTTTCCCCTTGCCCACCCGTGGGTGGGGCTTCTTCCTTGGCCCGGGTGGGGCCCAAGGGGGGGTGGTTCCCAAAGTCCCCGGGGAGGAGGGGCCAGGTGGCGGACAGCAGGCGCTGGAGAGACCTCGACCTGCAGTGAAGCCGAAAGGGGGGTCACGTGTCCTCGGAAGGAATGGTGGCTTTCAGTGAGCACGGGCTCCGCGTGCCTGAGGGTTGCGCGTGCCCCCCCCCAGGAGGTTTCTGGGGGGAGGAGGAGAGGCGAGAGGCGACTGTGAGGGGCTCATGGGGGTCCCAGCAGTCGGCTCAGTGCCTGCGGGGCCAAGGACGGGCCCTTTCTCCCCTGTGAGCCGGGGAAGGACGTTCCTCGGAGTGTGGGCACGGGGTGTGGCCTCGGCCCCTCGAGCCCTGGCCCCTGCCTCCTTCCTCTCCCACTCCCCCCCACCCCAGCCGTCTTAAGAAAGCGACCCGAAGACAGCGCTCCCTTCCGCCCTTCCACAGCCCAGCAGTGCGCGAGCCCTGGGCACCCAGGGACAGGTGCCTGCCTCCCGGGGGCTCCTCCGTGCCAGCCCCATGCCAGGTGCTGGGCACACCAGGCGGGGAGCTGACCCTGCAGCGGGGAGACAGACGCTGGGCCAGCAAATACACGAGATGCTGAAAGCGCCAGGGAGGGGACCACCCCCTTGGGCGGGAGGGTGGAGCGTAGCCGGGGGCTGACCGAGGGTGGTTTGGGCTAGAAGGTCAGGGAAAGGGGGTGACAGAAGGAGCTGTCCAGGGACGGGAACAGCAGGGACAAAGACCCGAGGCAGGAAAGCACTCGGGGTGGGCTGCTCGGGGAGGAGGAAAGACCGCTGTGTCTGAAGCAAAAACCCAGGAGCACGGGGGGGGCGGGAGGCCAGTGGGGCGGAGGGCGGAGCAGCACGTGGACCTGATTCCGACACCCACCAGAGAAGCGCGGAGGGCTGCCTGCAGGGAGGGGCGCGGCCGCCGCGAGGACGTCCTCACGCGTTCGGGGGATTGTTCCGGCCGCGGCTGGGTTCCCAGGGCTCCCTGACGGCCGGCGGCTCGGTCCGAATGCACAGCATGTCCCCGGTTCTGGAGTGAGGTCTTGGAACAGGCACGGGGCCCTGCGGGCTGCCGCACCCACCCCGGGTTTTTCTGCGGCCGCCCGCCCGGAGGACTTCGCTGGACGGAAGAGTACCCGGTCACGGCATCGCTCGGGACACAGTTCTAGCAAAAGCCTCTAACCCCACCGCTCACGGAATCGAGGGGTGCCAGCAATGCAGCTGCACGGGTCCTTGCAGACAAGTCCCTCACGTTCGGGAGAAGGCTTTGCAGGTGTTCCCAGGGGCGGTATTTTCGAATGCAACTCGTTTTGTTGTTGTTGTTTGCCTGCTCTAGTTAGGGCTGATTTCGCCACCGGGCAAATGGCATACATGCGGACCCCTGCCACGCTAAATACTGTTTATTTTGGAGATCTGTCAGAGGCAGGCGCAGGGGAGGCAGGATTCTTATGTGAAAAGGCAATTCCCGAAACAGATTGAGGAGGACAGGAGCCGTGCGGATTGAAATGCGCCGAAGTGGCGAGGCCGCTTACCCGGTTTGCCCTAGTTCCGTGGTGATTAAGTGGTGTTTTTAATTATGTTTCACTGGGAGCCCTGGGTATCGGCGGTGGCGAAATCGATTTGACAGCCATACAGGGGAAGGGGGCGGCCCGGGGGTGCTGTGATGACTGCGTTGCAGGGGGGGCCGGCGGCCTTGGGGGGCCGGGTGGGGAGGGGCAGAGGCAGGGGAGGCCGCCGGTAATGGCTTCCTGCAGGCCGGCCGGGCCACCTGCGGCCACTGCTGTCTGTGGGAGGCAGGTGTCCGTGCTGCTTTCCAGAAGAGGGGTGCACCTGGCTCTCGCTCACCTGAGACACCCACACAGATCCCCAGGCTGGCTGGGGACTCCCGGAAAGCCCCCCCCCCCCCGCCCGAAAGGTCCGTTTCTCATTTCTCTCTCATTAACAAGGGCAAGCGTGAGTACCCCACTGCCCTTCAGTCCAGAGGCCGCTTCTCACACGACAGCCCCAGTGCCTGCTCGAGGCAAGATGTGCTTGCAGCCACTGTGCCCAGACCGCCCCTCCCCAGCGGAAGACCAGGCCCCTCTGCGCCCCTCTCCGCCGTCTCTGCTGCTGCTGCTGCTGCTCTCGATCCGAGTTCCGAGTCTTCCGATGCTCGGGGGGCGGTAGAGGCTTCCTGGCTGCAGAGCCTGGTGACGACGCTAAGGCTCCTGAGGCTCTCAGCGCTTTGCTTCCTTGTCTGCCGCATGGGGATGACCGTCACGGGCCCGTCACCTGGGCGGGTGCTAAGACGCGTAGAACAAGCCTCCAGCAGCGCCTGGTGCGCGCACAGGGCTTCCGCGCGAGCGCTGCGGATGGATACGCCCAAGTCCCGGGACGACCGCCGCGGCTCTGCGACTGGGGCAGATCCCCTGCGCGCTCTGGGCTCGGCGCGTAGGGAGGATGTAGCGGTCGGGGGGGAGGGGTGATGCAACGCCCGGCCCTCCGGACTCTCGGTCCCCGCGATCATGCGTGTTCACATCCCGTCTCGTAGGAAGGAGCAGAAGAACACGTCACCACCCGCACCGTCCCGTGTGCTCCTCACAGCTTCCTCTTTTTCCTGCGCGGGCGGCGTGGGCCTTCTTATAAACGAGATACGACGAAACACGATTCTGCAGCAGCCGCATGGCGGTGGCAGGATGGGGTCACCCGCTGCAATGTGAGATTTGCTGAAAAAATCCTCGCCGTCGCCGTCTAATGGATGATCTGGGGACGACGATGGTGGATGGACCGTGAGCGTCTGAGCGCCGGGGTCGGTGCGCTTCCCGGGGAGGGAAGCATTAATTAACTTCCCGCGCGCGAGGGGCCGGGGATCCTGTCCCGATGGC